TAGAATGCATTGCTTAGGGTTTATTTTTGCAATTTTAAATCGTATAACACAATGTTTTGTATTAAATAATTTAAAGCTATAACGAACTATAGATGACTAAAGTAAAACCTACGCAGATATGGAGTTATTGCAGTGATGCTGTTTGCACAGATAGGAAATATGATTCGCAGACTGTAAAAATTCTCTCCAAGTTGATGACTGGCAAAGAAAATCTAACATGAAGACCAGAAGATTGGCTGGATCAAGGTCTGAAATGGGTTCTGGGATTATGGTGAATCTGCATTTGCTACTAACACCACATGACAAAGCATAACAGAGAGACCATGTACAGGAATATCAATATGGAAAGCCATCTTTCTTCACAAATGTCAATCAGACATTTAAAAATACCAACATGGTACTGAAGTATACATAATCTCAGGAAAATGAGTTTAAGGACACATAACTAATTGAAAGGAATCATGGCTTTCCAATGAATTTCTAGTGATTAATTTCTGAAATTGTTTCCTGTGTTGAATTTCCATTAAAGTCAATGGGAAATCTTCCTCTGACCCACTTGCAGGCATGGGGCACATATTTTTATCGGTCTCTGGCAAGTCATACAATGTTATGATCTCTTGATATATAGGAAAACTATTTTAGAGTTTTTGGACATTGAAAAATTAAGCTTCTAAGCCCATACAGACATGGTTATCTTTATGCAGGTGAATAGTTCTATTTATGTCATGTGACAGAAGCAGAAATCACTCAGACATAAAACCAAGCACATATGTACATGTTTGCAGAAACTTAATCTTATTTTAATATTTCAGCCTCTGTGAAATCTGTCCATGGTAACTAAAGTAATTTTAATGCAGAGGCAGAGGGATTGAAAAAATGTTAACAACCAGGAAATACTGTAAAGCTTTAAATGACAATCCAATATATTTTTCTTTTTATTTAAAATGTGCATGTGGGTAAATGAACAATATTGTTCGGCATTACAATGGTTTTATTGGACAGGTTTGTGATGACCTAGAATAATTTACAGCTTCTGTCAGGATAAACAATATGTTCAATAACTGGTTACCTGATGAACAGCTAAATTATTTCAGTGGTCCCTGGATTTCATGTAATCCACTTAGTCTTAACTCCCCTTTCATAACCTCTGGAAATGATATGTTATATTCTTTTATGGCAATTTGCCTTATCTGCCCTTTCAGTACAATATAGGATAGTCAGTAGGTATTGCAAACTCATGTTAATAAAACCATTTACTACCACGCACCACCAATCCTCCAGTACAGTAAACATTCATTTTCTTCCCCTCCCCCTCCTCCTCTTCTTCCCTCCTCCCCACACACAGTTTTTTGTACCTTTGTATTTCAAAATGCAGCATGTCATTACTTTTATAGATTATTCCTTTTACCTCACAACTGCATATATTTTCAGACTTAAGTGCCCCATTTTAGGCACCCAAATCCATATTTGGGGACATATAAAAGTGGCCTGATTTTCAGAGGGGCTGGGATTCAGTTCCTAATGGTAGTCATAGGGTTTCATGGTACAGTATTTCTTTACAGAAGTCATAAGTGCGTGTGGAAGGAGATTTTCCTTTTGCACTTAGAATTTCTTGCTATCAGTGTAGAGTGAGCTTGTTTGTTAGTGGCTATTTATACATACATATTTATTTATTTAGATATGTGTACTTTGGTCCCAGTTTGGGAAAGCACACCTATTCAGGACATCACAAGCATGGGTTGAAATGCTGTTTAACACCAGGGATGGATTTAAGCATTCAACTGCTTTCCTGAATCAGGGCCTATAACAAAAACACCCACCATCCATCTGCTCTAAGACCCTTTGAGATAACTTAAAATACAAATAAAAATGCACTCCACTATAACTACACTGCAGTATTTCCAGCCCCTATAACTGCTTCCAACTAGCAAACCAGGCAAATTAACAATTGATACCATCTTTCTTCTTCAACAGTAAATCTCCCTCACAAATCTCTTGACCCCATTACAAAGGTTCAGAGAAGAAAAAAAAAAAAAAAGCTGAGCTTTGCAATATGTCTTAAAGGTCAATCCCAAGCAAGCTGGAGAGTAAGTTCTAATGAAGAGGGGTCCTAATTCTATTGGATTCCAGCTTTACTGCTTGTGCTTATTTCAATTGCAGCTCTGTACAACTGTGAGACAGGGAATCTCTTACACAGATCCATTTAGTGTATGTCTACACAGCACACTAAGGGTACGTTCAAACTACCCTTTATTTTTGAAAGACAATATGCAAATTCTGCAGGAATTTGCATATCTTCTTCTGACCTCACTTTCGAAAGCAGAGCTTTCGAAACTGAATGCAGTTTTTTCGGACCCCCTCCCTTTTTCAAACCTAATTTCTCAAGGAAGATTTTTAAGGATTGCATATCCTCTTTCAAAAATAATGTGTAGTCTAGACATAGCCTAAGTTTCAGCTCAGACGCAGGTTTGAGTCCAAAAACAATCCCCCCCTTCTGCCCACATAGAAATTAGTCTGATGACACATTTAGTTCAATAAACTATATTTTAAACACTGGGTTATTCATGTGACGTATTTAAACCATGTTATTCTGCCAAGTGGATCACTCCAGGCTACATATATAATTAGCTAAATGGACGAGAATTGCAAGTTTCCACAGTTAAACAGCAGCTGAGGTGACTGCGCAGAAATAAGGGCAAACAGTACGGCTGGAAATAAAGCGTTAAAGAGTGGCTAAAACAAACAAGCTAAAATGTGTAATTTAATTACAAGTACTGTACATTTTGAATTCACAGCATTACTTAAATGGCTGCAATCTGTGGGATGGGAATGAGCGAGGTGCCTGACTCACTCCACACAAAATGATGACAGGAGGAGGACGAGGTGGCCTATTTAAGTATTTATTGACTGGGAAGCAGCCAGTGGACCAGAGAAAGAAGAGAATGATTCTGTAGTCTGGTGGTTAGGGCAGCTACCAGGAATGCTGGGGAGGCAGGGTCCAGTTCCTCCACTCAATTATTCTTTAGCCACAATGGAACAACTTCAACTGGAGAGATGGAGGGAGCCCCAGCAGGAGAATATCCCATAGCTCAGTTTTTAGACCACTTTCCCAATGGGTGGGAAGCCCTTGTTCAAAACTTCCCTCTCCATTTAGAAGAGGGGTAAATTGAACCTGGGCTTCCCAAAGCTCGGGTGAGTCTCCTAAACCACCGGCCTACAAGTTACAAGCTATGCAGCAGCAACTTCATCACCTCCTCCTTCTCTAGCCAGGGTTTGAAAGGCATCCTATCTGCTAGCTATGCTCAGAATCGTTCTTCCCAGATTAGGCCCCAGACATGACTTATGGGGGTGAAGGCCTGTCTATCCTGGCTTGTGTGTTGCGGTGGGGCAGGTGAGAGAGGAGCATCTGCATGCCAAGAGTGAGGCACATCCAGGGGCCAAAACATAGGTACAGACAGAACTTTCACCCTGAAAAGTTGGGTTCTTTGTGTTTACTGGGTTTGGAAGGAGTTTTGTGAATCTCAGTGGAGCCAAAACTGGGACATGGGCTGTAGGATGTGAGTGGGTACCTAAGTCCGGGGCTTGGGCAGCTAAGTATCTTTGTGGATCTGGGTATAAGTGCTTGGCTGAATTATTGCCTTCATGCTCTTCATACAGGAAACAACAGAAACACTGAAGCAGAGGTTAGATGACTGACAAATACATAATAGGCAACATATATTTGTTGCTTTACTTAAATTGGAAGACATAAAACAAATGTAATTTCATTCCTGGGAGTGAATATTATTTTTCTTGTCACATTTGTGAAGTACCCAGGTCATAAGTATTATGGATTTTCAGATATGCCCTGGGGATCTGCAGCGCTCTGTGTTCTGAGTAATTCAGAGCAATTTAAATTATTTCCTATTCCATGATACTTAATCCAGCAATAAATCAACCAGAATGTTGATATCAACAGCCAACGTGCTGCCTTCCATTCTTTTAAATTATGTCCCTGTTGTCATGATAAAAGTGATGGCCATCTCTCTCTCTCTCTCTCTTTTTATTTAAGAGGTGTCTATCTCTGAGTACAATGGTCCAAGAACTCCTCCTATATGGGAAGAGCAAGGGCCACAAAATGTGGCATGCAGCTTCCTCTTATTCTAATTTAAAAGCAAGCTCAGGATATGGTTGTGGCAGGAAAACAAGATGTGCCTAGAATTTGATTGTTTTCCATAACACAGAAAAAGAGAGGGTTGATCAGAGGGACACAATACTGCAGTCACCACTGGGGGCAGTGAGCATGCGGGACAGCTGTATTGCAAAATAACCACTGCGGGTAGCCTTACAAGGAGGGGAGTAGCCAGCTGAGGACAGGGCTTGCCCTCTTGCCAGCCACCTACCCAGGCAAGCGGCCTTGCAACCCAAACCTGTTCCCTTTGGCCCTTGCCCCACTGCTGTGCCCCTCCGCCCTGGAGCACTGCTGGGAAGTGCAGCTCCGGACCACCGTAGCACTGCCTGGCTGCCCAGCAGGCCTGCATGGCCTGTCCTCTATCCCCAGGAGGCCTCCACATTGTGCTCCTACCCAGGGGAGTGCTGCTGAGAGGCCTCCATGCTGTCCCCTCATCTACCCCTGGAGACTGCCAGTGGGAGTCCGCCACATCCCCTCCTCGGCCCTGGGCCATCCTCCCATCTTCAACTGCGGGCCAAGACTCCCCCTCCACGGTCCCTGGAAGCACTTGTGGGAGGCCTGTGTAGGTACCCCTGCCCCTGGATTGGACCTGGGCAATGCCGGGTAAGTCTTCTAGTACTGCTATAATTTATCCTTCAGCTATTTTATTTTTGTAGCTATTATTATTTTGACTCATTAGATGATTTTTAGAATTATTCAGACAAAGTGAAGTTTTAAGGCCTGATTTGGATATCGTTTGGTAATCCACAAGTTAATGCCATTTAAGTTATTGGTACTATAACATTGCAAGATCAGGCTATAAAACCTGTCCTTTTAAAGTATTTCTTACCTTTATCAAAGATTTCCTTCAAGACTCCTCGTTTTATAAGTTCCTCTCTGCTTTGCCTCATTGATATTTTTCTTTCCAGAGCTACAACAAAAGGACAAAGCATGCATAAATACAAAAATAAACATCAAGGCAATTTTGAAAGGCCACGTGTTTTATAGTATTTATTTATCCTCTCTGGGCTAAATCATTGAAGTCAATGGCAGAAATCCCATTCGTAGCTGAAAAAAAGAGACAGTCACAACTCCATAGACTTCTGCTTGTTATTGAAACATGACTGTTGATCCAAATGGGTAGAGACTGGTTTATTCAGGTGCACTTGTGTATTTTCATGGCTTCATCAAACACATGAGCTAACTGTCTGGGGAGAATGAGAAAAGAAGATGAGAATGGGGGCATGTCTAATCTACATCCCTCTTTCGAAAGAGGGATGTAAATTAGACAGATCAAAATTGCAAATGAAGCCAGGATTTGAATTTCCTGTGCTTCATTTGTATAATGGCGGCTGCGCGTTCTTTTGAAAATGGGGATTTCGAAAGTGAAACCACTAGTGAGTAGAGGAGTACAGGATCTTCCAAAAAAAGGGTTTTTCCCCCCAAAAGAACCATATCTAGACAGCGGTTTCACTTTCAAAATCCTTGTTTTCGAAAGAACGCGTGGCTGCCATTATGCAAATGAAGCACGGGAAATTCAAATCCTGGCTTCATTTTCAATTTTGATCTGTCTAATTTACATCCCTCTTTCGAAAGAGGGATATAGTTTAGACATAGCCTGGGACAGAATGGGAGGTGGAGAAAGGAGAAGGAGATTTGAAGAAACTCTGTCAGTGAATGGCACTTAGCTGTGGAACCTTCCCATAGCAGATCAGGATGAGCTCATGCCTTATCTCTTTTAAAGAGCATGAACCTGCACCTTTGAAGTCAAAGGGAATTTTGTCACTAACTTCTGCGGGAATAAATTCAGCCCTTAGGGAGCACTATGGGACACACCTACAGCAAGCGGCCTTTCCTCAAAAGAGGCAGTGACATTTATGCTGGCAAGTCCCTTTCCAACAATAGATTCTTCCCAAAGAAAAGAGCCATATGAAGTATACCCTTCATGAAGGGGGAGTGGAGAATCTGGTATGTTCATGACGACAAAGAGCTATGTCCTCATCTGGTATGAATCAGAGAAGTTTCATTAAAGTCAATGAAGCTCCCTTTATCTACACTAGCTAAGGACCTGGCCAAACACTTTATCTTACTTTGGTGCTTAGATACCATGATGATCAGAGCACGAGAAAGACAGAATTATACTGGTTGGTTAGCTCAACAGTAATTTTAAAGCAATGCCCAATTAACCAAAAGACCAAAAAATAATTGGCCTGATCTGTCCATCCAGGCATGTACCAGAAAGTGAGCAAAGAAGGGTGGAGCAGAAAATGATGTACAGATTTTGCTGAGATTGTGTGTGGTTGGTGAAAAATCAATGCATAGCTTGCCAAAAAACGAAGTATAGTCAAGGGCAAATTCCTAGTGCCATATGCTCGCTTGTCAGATGCAGCACATAAAAAAAATCCAGGAGGAAGTATCTTCAAGCTGCCCAAGACAGATTTAAAGCAAAAGAGGCCTTGATATAACTTTTTCCTCCTCTCCAAACATAATAACATAACCATTGTTGGTGCTACTACGAGTTCTCTGTGCCCCAAATCAGGAGGCGCTGCATAACTGGAGGATGAGGGAAGGTTATACTGACCATCATGCAACTTTTTGAACTTGTTTGCTATTAGACATATGCTGTGTGATGATCACTATTAAGATAGCAAGTGCTGGGTCTTGGTGTCTATTATAATTCTGCTTAAAAAATTCCACTGGTTCTGATGGAAGTAATTTCTGTCTCTCCTTTTTAATCTAATTCTTAGATTTGATTATATAACCAGTCATCAACATTTAATAGCTCACAAAAATCAAGATACGAACAGTTGTATTTATATACAGGCAGTCCCCGGGTTACATGGATCCGACTGACATCGGATCCCTACTTACAAACGGGGTGAGGCAACCCCGCACTAGCTGCTTCCCCCCAGCAGACCAGGGAGATGCGAAGCTAGCGCCGCCCCCAGCAGACCAGGGAGACGCGGAGCGGCTTTTCTCAGCAGACACCTCAGCTTGAGAATAAAGGACTGAGGGAAGTGAGGTGTGGGAGAATAAAACTGAGCTCTGGAGAAATGTTTGGCTAGAGTTTCCCCTACAATATGTACCAGTTCCGACTTACATACAAATTCAACTTAAGAACAAACCTACAGTCCCTATCTTGTATTAAATATACTGTTTCCTTACACACTGACATCCCAGAATGATTACATCATCTTGAAAATGTCCAACTAACCTCTAATATCAGTTAGTCCTGAAGGGCTGCTCTCAACAGTGGAATAGAAGGTTTCAGTCCCAATACCCTGTAAGTATTTCAGCCCAATTATTTTCTACAGGTTTATGTATGTCCCAGATGAGATTATCTGCTGGTTTTATCACCTTTTACACCTTCACACAACACATCTCTTATAAGAGACCTAATCGCTATATAATAGGGATAACATTTTCAAAAGTAACTTCAATATTTAGGAACCAACGTTCCACTGATTTTCAATGAAATGTAGACACCAATATCTAAGACACTTGGAAATGAGCGTTAGGGTAAATCATACTTCAAGCTGTAGGAATAAATTCCAGATCAAGGAGACATGCTTGTGCTAGCTCTGATCAAGCTAGCATATTAAAAATAAAGTATAGCCCCTCTTGCCCTGGCTAACTACCCTGTGAATAACATCTTTGACTGGCATGTTCACAGGACAGCTAAATTATGGCTACCCTCTATATTTGATGCACTAACTTGATCAGAGCTAGTGAGGGCATATGTCCACAAGCTGGAATTGACACTTGCAGCTCAAAGTGTACACATACTTACCCATAGTACTTTGGCCCTTTTGAAAATTTAACCGTTTGAACACTTTGCTGAAGGTAGGGTCTAAAGAAGCTGCAGCACACAGCTTGCTACCAATGGCTTTGCATTTTTGAAAGCCTGGCTACTTGTCTTGATTATCTGATAGGATAGTAAACAATAAACGAAGCCCAACAAGCACCAGAAACACAGGCTAAAAAAGTAATCCAATAGGGACCATAAGAGGCATCAAGAAGCCAAATGAACTGTTCAACAGGTTCTCTAATGGCGATCTCAGATTAATTATCAGAATAAACAATAACAATAGCAAAACGGAACATTGCAAGATACATGAAGCATGGAGAGGTTTCCCAGCTACTAGAAGAGAGGAACTGAGGGATAGTTGGTTTTTTCCCATGGGATGATAGGAGGTGTGCCCAGGAGTTCAGCCTTAGGCTCTACACTGTATTCAAAGAATGAGTAGGGTTGCTAGGTGTTCGGTTTTCACCCAGACAGTCCGGTATTTGCGGGCTCCATCTGGTAAAAAAAATACAAGAAATATCGGACATGTGCAATGTCTGGTATTTCCTGGTTCCCTGGGATGGAAGCCTGGCGGGGACAATTTTCCCCTGCAGCATCTGGTGGGGGCAGGGAGTGAAAAGCACGGCAGAGTCTAGCGAAGGGGGGACAAGTGGGGGTAGTTGCCAGGCGCCATGCTAGGGGGATGACGGGCTGGGGTGGGAGCGGAGCAGAGCACGCACTACTCTGGCCCATGTGACCAGCACAGACCGGGAGCTGGCCATGATGCCTCCCTTGCTCTCCAATGTGAGCTGAGGCAGCCGGGCCAGGAGGCAGGAGCAGCCACTTTAAAAGTCGGATTTTTCCTCCGTGCCTGGCTCTGCGGGAGGGGAGGGGGGAGATTTGATTGGAACAGGGGCTCCCAATGCTGGGGATGCCTGCTTTGGGGGAGGGGTGAGAGCATTGGGATGGGAGGATGCGAGAGGGGCCTGGGTCTGAGGCAGGGGTGAGTGCAGTGGGATAGGGAGAGGGGGGGGCCTGGCTGAGGGGGAGGGTGGGTGCATTGGTAGTTAGTGTGTGGTCCTAAACTAGAGGAAGTGGTGCAACTTTTGCTTAACAACTTTGGCTCCTCCCCCCCCCCTTTTTTTTTGGTTTAATAACTTTGGTCTCCCCCTCCCTTTTTTTCCCTTGACAGAATTTTTTCCCAGTGCTTTTTTTTTTTTGCAGGGGGGCATCTGGCAACCCTTGTAATGAGCACAACTCCTACAGGTTTTCATCCCAGAAGTTGCTGCTGAAACTAAACCAAATTTTGCAGTGCTCTAGGGTAATTCCCAGTGGCTTTAGCAAGAGTCTGAGTAAATATGTCATAATTTGGCCATTTTGTATTCCTTGGTTTGGATTTTTTATTGTGCCTTGTTTTGACGTAGCTTTTAAAACTTTGGGTTTTTTTTAAGCAGTAAGCAAAGTAAGTTCTGAGCTTGTCATTCATTGAACTAAGTGATAAAACTCTGACTGACTTCAGTGGTGCAGGATCTGGCCTTAAGTAAATAGGAATAACTTGAACCAATTGGAACTATTTCAACAACTCTGAGAAAAATCTCTCATTTCCCATTCATTTAATGGGAACCTATGGCCTGGGGGCTGAATCCAGCCTCCATCTTGCTAGATCAGGCTCCTGAGGCTCCAGGGTCCTCCCTCACATTGGGCAGCAGGCATTGGCACACACACTGAAGCCCTCAGTTTTGTCCCACCCAGGGCCTAGGGGCCCCCAAAATCTACCAGCTCAGGCCCCACTCGGCTCTGGTGTGCAAGGGGAATGCAGGGAGTGTCTTTCTGCTTCTCAGCCGGGACTCCCACTCCAAAAGAGGTTCCTCATCCAACAGTGAAGTGCCTTCACTCTACCTAACTGTACTTTTCTGCAGGAAACCAAGAAGTTGGAAGAAATATCACCAAAATAACACCCCCTGCTTACAGACAGCAGCACTTGTTAACTCAAGGAGATATTGAGAATATATTTTGAAAATTACTATACTAGCCTGTACCTTAGGCAGCTAGATAACCAATGCATATTTTATTTATCCATCTCTCTATCTATACCTATATCTTCACACACAGGAATATGTGTGTTTGCATGCATAGTTCGTACTTGT